GCGTTCCAATTTTATCAGCGTTTTTCCTTTGTCGATTGTTAGTCTTTCGGTAACACGTTTTGTGAAAGCGACTCTCTTTTGTTTCTTTGGTAGACGAACTTGGGACAGCCCATTCGTGCGATTAAATTGATGTTGCAAAAATGTCGTCAGCGATGAGACACACTCGCCTGAAAAGTATATTTATAGAAATGCCATTTTTACAAAAATCATAAAGTTCAACATCAGACGCAGAACAAAAGGTTCGCTTGAAAATATCGACAGCTGCAGGACGCAGCAAGGGGTGTATATATACATTCCGTCTATCAAATCGCCAGTACATAGATTGATCGGCAGCAATCGCCATGTATGAAGGGAAAAAAGGAGAAAAATGAAAGAATTGAATCGCGCGGATTAAATTCGATCGCAGCTCCTAGTAACCGACATTTTACTCGGAAAGAAAGGCGATTGCACATTATTACGTCTTATCTTAGTTGAAGCACGGCGTAGGCAATACGAAAAGAAAACAATTGTTATTATTACGTCTTCTTCGCCGAACAACCGTAGATTGCAAAAAAAAAGGACGACCGATTCGTTTTGCAAAAGTGACCAAAAGTAATTTTTCGCGCTTGCCGTGTCATCGTCTTTGCTGTATGCGTGTGTAAGGAACGAGAGTGAGTGAGAGAGAGAGAGAGAGAGAGAGAGAGAGAGAGAGAGAGAGAGAGAGAAATAAGCAGCATGACGTCGCAGATGCGCGCAAGAAACGCCTGCTGTTGCAGCGCGATAATTGACTCGTTACGTACGATCACACACTGCTCCCCGGATGGTTGGCGATTTTTTTTCTCCTCGAGAGAGGCAATGTTTTTCAAAGCCAGCCGACGAAAAAAAAAAAGGAAAGAAAGAAAAGAGAAAGAGTCACCCCGACTTTGTAATCGCGAAAAGTAAATTGAATTTTCAAGCTGCGGGTGCACAGATGTGAAAAAGAAGCGAGGAGAGAGAGAGAGAGAGAGGAAACCGTACAAGTTCATACTAACAAGCAGGTATAGGTAATGTCGATAACCACGTATTCTTTTTGTTCTTGGTCAGCAGCGCCGAGAGGGCAGGAGTAAATAATTCAGCGTGTTTTTAATGTTTGTGTCGCGCTCTGCGCTCTCCGCCCGACATAATAATGCGATCACATCGCGCGCCATTATAACTTGCGCCCAAAGTGGATTGCCACACACGCAGCAAAGTTCTAGGGCGTGAAGAAGAAGGAGAAGAGGGACAGGACCTTAATTTTCATTCCTGTGCGTCTCTCTCTACTTTTTTTTAAATTTTTTATCGCAGAAGACCCGTGGGCGTACGGGGAATATTAAGGAGGTGTGGATTTTTGTGATAAAGCCCCTGCAAGAGCAACTTCGTTAACACGATGAACTTACTTAAAACATCCGTTAATTACTCAGCTTCGGCTGCGAGGAAAAAATTTTCCTCCGCGGCGTTATTTCGTTTGATATCAGGAGATAGCGAGAGCGCGTACCGAATTGAGCAACCAGCCGTGAGAAAAAAAAAGCAATTTCGTATCGTCTGCCCGAGTGTTAAAATTCGTACAGAAAGGGAGAGAGAGAGAGTCAGAGAGTGAGAGTGAGAGCGAGAGCGAGAGAGTGCGTGAATCGTCCGAAATAGAGATGGTCGCATATATTGAGTGGGAGTCCAGTTTTCACGGTTCGAAGACCCGCCGCTATAACTGGCCATTAGCTCGCTACATAGCCGTTGGGCGGCGAGCGGAGAGAGAGCCTAACTTAGTTGCTGTAACTAGCCGACGTCAGCTATCTTTTTCTCTTCGGTTACGCTGAACTGCATCCGACGCCAATTATTATTCCCTCTGCCTGCTTTTCGTCGCTTATTCCTAACTCGGCCGACCCGTTCCGCTCGCCAAACGCAATCCCACGACCCGTTTCCAATCCGAAAATTTCGCGCGAATATCCGATCTGCCCCCGGCCGCTTAAATATTTGTCGTTGTCGTAGCCGGAGCCCCGTCGTTTGCCTCGCGAAATTAGGTTACAACGCTCGCGCGTGGCGATAAGAGCCAAGTTCCCCAAAGTTCAATACTTTGAAAACCGTGACGCGGCGTGCAACAGCATTATTTTCGGGCGCAGAGGCGAAGTTTCGTCTTCAAAGGCTTACGGGCACTTTGTGGCTCGCGCGAGTGAGACGAGAATTTCGCGCCGCGGCAAGTTTAATATTTACATCGCGAGACACTGCACGCCTTTAATAAACGATCCCCGTGCGACATCTCTCGCCCGCTCCAAATACAATCCGGGGGTTTATTGCTCGGTAGCAGCGCTACATTTTGGAAACGAGAGGGGGCAAATAAAACGAAAACAAAACGAGCGTCGAAATTCGAGAGAGCCGCGCTCCGACCCTTTATCGTAGTGGCACGCAGACACAATCCAACCCCCCCCCCCCCCAACCGACAAACAAGACTTTATCTCGCGTGTGCGTGGCACAGATTCCGGAAAGAGAGCGACCGTGTGTGTATCGCATAACGCTTAATTGACGTTGAAGATGCTGCAACGAATAATCAAAATCAGCGCCAGACGAAACAAAATGCCGCTACACGCCCTAACCCCGCCGCGAGCTAAATATAATTCCCAGATCTTAGGTTTCGTCTGCAACTAGTCTAGACGCCGGCCCGAGAGCCAGAGAGATCACGAGGAAGAGGAAACGAGCCGGCGGAGGCGTGCATTTCTCTGTCCGTGCGCTGCTGCATGGGAACTGTGAATGGTGCCAATATTCGCGTGAATGGTACGCTCAGACGTTGAATACGGCAACGGAGCTTACTCTTTAAAAGCTGCCTGTACAATTTTCGTTCATTGCAATGAACTGGGTTATTGATCTTGTCGATTTTCACCGTTTCGATCGCACAGCAACAGTTCAATTTTGTAATTACAGGTAAACCCCGCAATTCCTCCATTTTTGGGCATTAAAAGATTGAAACTTTGGAGTGACCAACTGCATTTCATGAAATTAAACATATTAATTATTATCGCTAAGTGAATATATGCCAACAAAGCGTGTGTTTGCAGAATTTTATTCGTTACCGATAGCATCCAATTACAAACATGTGCTGAATACGCTTAAAATGTATTTGACCGTCGATTTTTAATTTAAAAAATGCTTGAAATTTCTGATTACTTAAATAGAGGGAAGCAATTAAGCAATATATCGAAAACCAACAATTGAAACTCTCATCGTCGTTGTCTATTTTAAAGTCAAGGAAACTAACTCCTTCCTACATTAAAGCAAAAAAACGGAAAAAGAGGGAGAGCGGGAGGGGGGAGGGAAGGAAGAAGAGACAGAGAGCAGTAGACAAACGAACAAAAAAAAGAAAAAACGAACGAAGTAAGGCGCAAGCGAGCGAGACGAAACCGCGCCGCGGATAGTAGTATTAGCAGACAGACGTTCCAATTTGCCTGCTAGCCGTGTGCTCCCTGGCTATTCCCTTATTTCTGGACTTTGCGCTCGACTCGCTAGACGGTGTAATTGACGTTATTGGCGCGTCCGTCCCTCGCGCGGTTTTAATCAGTTTTGCCACGCTTTAAAACGAAACCGACCAATGATTCCGACGAAACGTTCCATTTTTTCTGTTACGCGCGAATTCCATTATAATTTTTACTAACAAATTCCTTCGTTAATTTTCGATTCGCACGAATTAAAATATTTATCATTTGCCAAAGAGTCGAGAGCGAATCGAGGAAAAGGAAGTCTCGAACATTTTCCTTTGGGCAAGCGCTCGCGGCGGAAAACGAATGTACGAGCGTCGCGAGTCCCTCCCGCCCTCCCAAACCACTCGCGAGAGAGTGCAAGCGGCTACAAAACCCACGAGGCTTTCATTAGCGCGCGGCCGAACACACGATCGCGCACTTTGATTAGAAAAGTTTTTAGGTGTACTCGCTTGGCTAGTTCGACTCGGCACGTTGCGCGTGTCACGATACGGGCCCCGCTGACGCGACAGCGGGGGTACGTAATGCGCCACTCCTCGCGATTGGCGTTCGGGCGCGCTCGCCCGCCATCGCGCACCCTCGCAAGAAACGCAGGCCCGGCAATACGGTCAGTCGGCATAGTGGTGGCCGATGACGTTGACCTCAAAGGGCTAGACTGACAAAAGGAGGAACGCGAGCGCGCGCCGCGACGCTGACGCGGCCGAGTATATTTGGCTTTGGGCTGGCGCTGGTGCCGCCGTTCTGCCGCTCGCAGCTTCGTGAGCGCGCGGGCTCTCTGTAAATTGTTGCCGGCGCGCGCAATTATCCACCTACGCGCCGTGGTCCGCCACTGCTAATCCAGCCGGACCGAGCCGTGCATTTCGGCCGCTCGCGCCGCTCGGAAAAATGCGAAAGCTCGCCTGCGGCGCGCTTCATGGCCAGAACTCGAATCGAACGCGATTCCATAGCTTTCGCGTCGACAAACTGTTAAGCCTTCCGTAGTAAGCGGCAAAAGTAGCTTTAGAAACAAACCGCTTCGACGTTGCGAATGCGTACACATACACGCGCACACCTCGTAGCATCGTAAAGAAAAGGGTCAGAGCATAGTAGAAGGAGAAAAAGAGCGTAGACCGGATGCGCGCGAACGCTGCGTGTATGTGTGTTTGTGTGTGCGTGTGTACCGCGCGATTTATGGGCCTGTTTTATTCGTCGCGACGCTTCCGCTCTTGCCGCCGCAACACGACGAAAGAGAGGAAGAGACGAGTGGATATTGGAAGACGAAAGAGGTTACGTAGCCGAGCGAACTTTAGAGAGAAAATAAAAAACAACCAAAAATGACGCATAACGTTTTGTGGCTGCTCGTCGGCCAATGCATTCGGGCCGTTAACGCGTATCGCCACGAAAGTTATCAGTGTCGAAAAAAATGACGGACCGTCGAGAGAGAGAGAGAGAGAAAGAGAGAGAGAAAGAGAGAGAGAAAAAGAGAGAAAGAGAGAGAGAGAAAGAGAGAGAGAGAGAGAGAGAGAGAGAGAGAGAGAGAGAGAGAGAGAGAGAGAAACTCACCTTTCAGCTGGCTTCTGCGATATAGCGTGGTGGAATAGTCGATCCATTGGGTTGAGCTGCGATCCCTCGCCAATGGCACCGTGTTCGCCATTACTCTGTCCCCCTTCGCCTCGATCATACTCATCCTCCATCCCTGCAACAATTAAAAATCACAAGCGCGCCCTTTAGTCGGCTGCGTTCCTCGAGCCCAAGTAGTACAAGACGAAACACGGTCAGACGTCAGCGAGAGGCGAACGGCAAGAGCGACCAAAACTGGCAGCACCTTCGGGCGCTCGCCTGTCATCGCGCTATTTTGCGAGAAAGCAAGAAAGAAAATAAGAAGAGCTTTCCAAGCGACACCTGAGCAAAGCTCTTAATGCGATTCGTTCGCTTCCCGCGCGCGCGCGAGTTTTAACGAGGGTCGAGTTGTCGTCGCCGGGATTTGTAAAGAGTATAACTAAGTGCTAAGCTTGCTTTTGCGTTTTAAAATGCTTTTACTCAACTGCTGCGACGTCCCTCGGAAGAAACGAAATCGTTGATTTTTTGATTGCCAAAAAGAAAAAAAAAGGTACACGACAATCGAAGAGAGAAAGAAAGGATCAAGAGATGAATTCTGGTGGTAGAAGGTTCTTAGAGGCAGAGAGAGAAGCTGTCGAAAGCAGATATCTCAGAGGCCTTTTCTTCGTTAATCCTCTTCTCTACCGCGACTCCGCCATTTCCTCTTTTACTGCACCCCCCCTCTCTGTCTCTCTCTCTCCATTATCCTCTCCTTGTCACTTTCTTATATATCTACGTGCTTACAACCTAGAAATTCATTCGTCAAGTGTACACAGACACAAATTCGTTCCGTGCACAATGTACGAAGAATAATCAATATTTGAATGGGTCTATGAACAAACGTGTAACTATTATACGTTAAAGATGAGACCTCTCTCGATTCGTGCAAACTTTACAATCGTAATTGAAAAATCGCCGCTTATCGAAATGATAATTCGTTATTTCGGTATGAATGAGTATGAAAAAAAGATACGCGCGGACCTCACCCCTTATCGAGTATCGAGTAATCCCACGTAAAGCAAAAAACCAAAAGAAGAAGACGAAATGGAGGTTGAGGGGGTGAGTTAAAGAGGCAAAGGGGCGTGGCAAGATGAATGATCGCAAGACGCGGGAGTATTGATCCCGTACTCTCTCTCTATCTCTCTCTCTCTCTCTCTCTCCCCCTCATCCGTTTTCGCCACTACCTCTCTTGCGTCTTTTGCTCGCCTTTGCTCCTTTGCAACGTCGTCGCAGTCGCATTTCGTTTCGTAAACTCCTTCAACCCTCTCCCCTGCTCTATGTAGGTTCAGGGTCATGCGCGTGCTCTCTAACTTACCCGCGAGATTCTTTTTCTTTTCTTATTTTGTTTACAGCTATTTAAGATTGTTCGTCGACGAATTCCGGAGATCGGAATGCGTTAATGTATCGCACGCAACCGAAGATAAGAGCTGCGAAATTACCGACGAACAAATACGAAAGTATGCGTCTTATCGATCTCTCAGACGAGAGAGATAATTCCATCATAAAAGCGCGGTACCACGAATGAAAAAAAAAGGAACGAAACGAAGCTGATAACGATCGAGCCGAAAACGTGGCGAATCTTGCATATAATCGTTGAACGCCGCGTCGTTCGAAAATTATATGTGGACGACGTACTCGACGTACTACCGCTACTATACGGGAGACAGAGAGAGCACGTGATTGAGATTTCTTTTTTTGCGTGAATAACAAAAGCAAGAATTCGTGCGCTTAATCTTGAGAATAACGTTATATAACGCGAATGCCTCTTATCTACGAAAGGTTTTTTTCGGTAAATTTTAATATTCTAATCGACATGGATAAAAAAAGAAGGAGAACGACTTTTCCTCGTGACACGCGCGGAAGATCTGCCAAAGCGAACGACGAATAAAGAAGAGGAGGCAAAACCCGGAAGGGACGTCGCTAAATCTAATAATTCGTCGTTGGTATTACGCAAGAGGTTGAATTAATTTAGGATTCACCTCCTCTCTTTTTTTTTCATCTCTCTCTCTCTCTTTCCCTCTCTCGCTCTCTCTTTCTCTGACGTTTGAATGATTTATCGCGTACAGGTGTTTGAAGTACTTATATTTCGCCTCTTACACAACGTTGAATTGATAATTCGGCGAAGGTCACATGGAAAACGACCGATTAATAGAACGAAAGCTCGAAATGCTAACTGTAGTTTGACGAAAATACATTGGATTGATAAGCGGTCATTGACCGTTACTTACGTAGCTAATCGATTGATAACAAGGATAAACGAAATATCAGCTTTCGAAACCATTTTCGAAAGAATTTCATCAAGATAAAGAGAAAGAGAGCGAGATCACATTGAAGATCGTTAAGGGGGTCAAGCTTTCGCGCCGAGAGTTGACTTTACCCCTCCAAAACTTGAACGGTTCATCGAACTTGAACTGCTTGCGGCATTATATATCTCTCGCGTCCCTCTGACGAAGGTCAAGGCGCGTAACACGTGCCCCTCACCCCTGCCCCCTCCCGTCGACGCCATCACCTTTGAGACGGGAAAACTTGAAAAAAAGGATGAAAATTAAAACGAAGCCTACGCGTGTAATTTTCATTAAACGAAACCGCGTCATCGGCGGCTCGCACGCGACAACGTCGGTGAAAGCTCGCCACGAGCTTTCGCGAATAAGGCTGGTGCGTGTACACGTGTGCCTGAGTGCGGTTCACCGCGGCAAAACCAAGCCGAGCGGCGACGAGGTGGGAAGAATCGGTCGAGGTGAGGGCAGCGGCGCGTGGGAAACGAGGGCCGCGCACCCGGGCGGGGTTGCGAGCGTCTTACCTACTCGTTGTCGCGCAGCCTCCGACGAAGCCCTCTCCGTCACTCTTCATCGCCGGCATGGCGATCCGATGTCGCGCGACCAGCCTGCAGAGGACGGGGCCTGCGCTGCACGCGACTCGTAGTTACGAAGAGGTCAAAGCACTGCACCGTACCGCACGGCAATGTGTGTGTGTGTGTGTGTGTGTGTGTGTGTGTGTGTGTGTGTGTCTGTGTGTCTGTGTGTGTGTGTGTGTGTGAGCGCCTACACGTCGCGGCGCTCATGCCGCAGCCGCCATGCGAGTTTCATGCCCGCGGCGACGCCTTGCACACGCCGCCGCGAGCGAGAGCTTTCCGCGCGAAAGCTCCTCTCGCCTCCTTCTCGCCCCGTTTGCTCGCGAAAATGGAGTTCGTTGCGTGGCGGCGCTCGAGAGGCCGGAGAGTCGTTCAACCCTCGGCGTGTGTGTCACGTGTCGCCGCCACTGAAGCACCGTCGTCCCACACATCTTCATCGCCGAAGCGGACAACACCACAAAAACGACACCCGCGCACAGCACCGGCATCTCGGCGCACATGCCCGCCACGAACGAGGACGCGGCGCGTGCCAGGCTCTCGCTAGCGGCGGCAGCGTGACAGAATCTTGCGGACGGCCATGCTTTTCTGCGTCGCAGTCGGTCCGGTCGACGGGGAAGTAGCACTCAGCGGCGAAACTCATACCGCGCGAGCGAACGACGTCGATGCGAGAGAACGGCGCAGTGCCGCACACCAACGGCCTGACGATGACGATGACGATGATGTGCGTTGCGTGCGACGCGACTACGCCTACTGCGAGTTCGGCTTTGCGAATCGTCGTCGTCGTTTACGTCGCCGCCGTCGTCGTCGTTTGCCCGCATCCCTCTATCTCTCTCACGTGTGTGCGCGCCGCCAGTGCCGTCGCGAGAGAGAGAGAAAAAGAGAGAGAGAGCGAGAGAGAGAGCGAGAGAGAGCGAGAGCGAGAGAGAGATTGAAGCGACGAGGGCGCCACCGAACGGACGACACGACGTCGACGCCCGCGATCGATACGACGACTCTCTTTCGCGAACGAAGGGAAGGGGAGAGAGAAACGTATAGTAGTAGTACGCCAAGTGGGGTGAATACACTCGAGCGAACCAGCGAGCTTGTCTGCCTTGCCTGCCCTGCGCCAGCGTCCAACTGGAGTAGGGTAAGGGCTAGCAGCGCCACGGCTACCTCCGCGACTGTCATTAAGAAAAGCATTTTCTTTCTCTTTGACCAACGT